GAACCTTCCTCCGCTTAACGCCCGCGGTCTTGCCGGCATTCTCCGCCGCCGGCCAGGATCGCACTGCGGCGCTGGCGCGCGGAGCGCGGGCCGTCACGGTGTGGGCAGCCGGATTCCCGCCCTGCACGACCACGTTGCCCTACCGCTTGCGGGCCGGTGAGGGAGTCCTGGATTAGGGGGTCCTCGGATAGCCGGACTATGTACTTGTGTCGGACTGTTGGACTATGAAGATACAAGATTGAAGACTTCGTCCCGTGTCCGGGTGGGACTCTCCTTTGCGTGGAAGGCAAGCTTGGCAATTCGGATATGTAGATTTCCTTCTCTGTAACCGACTCTGTGTAACCCTAGCCCCCCTCCGGTGTCTATATAAACCGGAGGGTTTAGTCCGTAGGACGAGAACAATCATAATCATAGGCTAGCTTCTAGGGTTTAGCCTCTACAATCTCGTGGTAGATCAACTCTTGTAATACTCATATCATCAAGATCAATCAAGCAGGAAGTAGGGTATTACCTCCATAGAGAGGGCCCGAACCTGGGTAAACATTGTGTCCCCCGCCTCCTATTACCATTATCCTTAGACGCACAGTTCGGGACCCCCTACCCGAGATCCGCCGGTTTTGACACCGACATTGGTGCTTTCATTGAGAGTTCCACTTTGTCATCACGGGAAGGCTTGATGGCTCCTTCAATCATCTTCAACAGTGCGATCCAGGGTGAGGTTTTCCTCCACGGACAGATCTTCGTATTCGGCAGCTTTGCACTGCGGGCCAACTCGCTTGGCCATCTGGAGCAGATCGATAGCTACGCTCCTGGCCATCAGGTCAGGTTTGGAAGCCTGAACTACACGACCGACATCCGTGAAGACTTGATCTTCAATGGATTCGAGCCCATGACAGGTGCACCGTACAGTCGCGATGAGCATGTCTTAGATCTGCCATCGTATGGTGTTCAGGAGAATGCACCTGTAGCTGCCCTGGCTTTAAATCCAGAGCCGATCGTGCCATCCGAGGATGGGTGGATGGACCCCGCCATGGAGGCCGCACACTCAGTGCCGATAGAGCCGAACACATATCCCACTCCTAAGGAGATCTGCGTCTTCGGACCCTCGGACTCGTCTCCGACCAGGGGCTCCGAACCACGTGCATCCACGCCCATCGAACCTGACTGGGCACCGGTCATGGAGTTTAGCTCCACGGATATCTTTCAGCACTCACCCTTGGGTGACGTGCTAAATTCATTAAAATCTCTCTCCCTGTCAGGAGACTCTTGGCCGAACTATGTCCGGCTTGAGTGGGAAGCGGACGATGAAGAAATTCGTTCCCCACCCACCACCCACTTAATAGCCACTGTTGACGACTTAACCGACATGCTTGATTTCGACTCCGAAGAGATCGACGGTATGGACGACGATGCCGGAGAAGAACAGGAACCACCGCCCAAAGGGTGCTGGACAGCCACCTCATCATATGATATATATATGGTGGACACACCCAAAGAAAGCAATGGCGATGAGGCAACAGAGGATAATCCCCTTGAGAAGCAATCTAAGCGCCGACGTCAGCGGCGCCGCTCTAAGCCCCATCATAGCAAAAATAGTGATACCGGCACAAGAGACAATAGCACTCCAAATGATGCCAAAGACGAAAACAATCCCGCCCAGCCAAGCTTCGAGCAAGCCGGACGGGAGGATGGGCAAGCTAGCACTGATAAACAGGCAATGGATGGAGACTCGGAGGATGACAATTACATGCCCCTCTCCGAAGACGACGTGAGCCTCGGCGACGAAGAATTCATCGTGTATGAGGATCCCGTCGAGCAGGAGCGCTTCAAGCGCCGGCTTATAGCTACTGCAAAAAGCCTGAAGAAAAAGCAGCAGCAACTTCAAGCTGATCAAGATCTGCTAACTGATAGATGGACTGAGGTCCTGGCAGCCGAGGAATACGAACTCGAGTGCCCAACCAAAAGTTACCCAAAGCACATGTCGTTACCTCAATTTGAGGAGGAGGCACTAGAGCCAACACTACCAGCGCAGGATGCGGCTGACCGGTCGCCTCGTGGCCGAGATAAAGCGGCGTATCAGCCCGAACACGAGCCCGCACCCGGTCGCCAAACAAATAAAAACACGAAGGCCAGGGGCTACACACATGACCTGCAAGACGAATTGGAAAACAAAGCAGGACAATCAAGATCAATCTACGGATCACGGGGGCGCGTGATGACCCGCAAGTATACGGGATAGTTGTAGCCTCTTTCGATAAGTAAGAGTGTCGAACCCAACGAGGAGCTAAAGGTAGAACAAATACTCTCTCAAGTCCTATCTGCCACTGATACGACTCTACACACACTTGATGTTCACTTTACCTAGAACAAGTATGAAACTGGAGGTACTTTGTAGGTGTTGTTGGAAAGGGTTGCAAGATAATAAAGAGCACGTAAATAAAAGTTAGGGGCTGTTTAGATAAAGAAGCAATAAATTAAATATAGCGAGTGTGGAAAAGTGGTGGTAGGAATTGTGAAATTGTCCCTAAGCAACTGACTACGTTACTAGACCAGTAATCACTATTGCAATTCTATTTGAGGGAGAGGCATAAGCTAACATACTTTCTCTTCTTGGATCAT